GGGGGGGGAACAGACATACAATCACATCAAGTCCACCTACCGTTGAGAACCTGTTTAAATCCTTTGATTGTTTCACTGAGAGGCACTAGTTTTCCCTCCGTGCCAGTGAACACCTCGGCCACTTGGAAAGGCTGCGACAGGAACTTCTGCATCTTACGGGCGCGAGACACGGTCAGCTTGTCCTCCTCTGACAACTCGTCCATACCCAGAATGGCAATGATATCTTGCAGTGATTTGTAGTCCTGCGAAGTGGATATAAAATTGTTGAAGTCAATCACATTTCAAAGAATTTCCTTCTATAAATTTACATTGTGGAAGACATTTTTTTTTTGTTTTTGTTTAAAGATAAAGAGATGCAAATCTAATATGCATATTCTTTTGCCTCATCCACTAAGCGAAGTAATAACATCATCACATTATTTCTGTAGTGTAAGTTTTAATCACAGGCAAAATAAATCCTCAAAAAGAACGAGCAAATAAACATATCTTAGCACAACACAAGAAATAATATTATGCTGAAAGAGAAGTTAATCCACGCCCATTCAAGTCTCTCTCTCTCTCTCTCTCTATCTCTCTCACCTGCAACACCTTCTGTACACCACGTGCCACTTCGTAATGCTCCTCTCCGACCACATTGGGGTCCAAAATACGAGAGATGGAATCGAGAGGATCCACGGCAGGGTAGATACCCAGCTCAGCAATACCACGGGACAACACGGTGGTGGCGTCCAAGTGAGCGAAGGTGGTGGCAGGGGCGGGATCTGTCAAATCATCAGCTGGCACATAGATGGCCTGGAACACAATAATGGGTGAAGATTAGGACACATGCAGAGGAGACCATAACACTTTGTCTGTTCATTTGTTTACTTAGTTATTTTGTGGACTTTCATACAGTGTATGCATGATCCTAAAAATTTTAATAGCGCTTGGTCAAAATCTGATAAGCCATACTTTCATGAACAATACATGATAAACAAAACCCATTTAATTGATTTAAGTTAAAGTTAAAACGAGAAGCACAGCAACTGTCATCATGGGTGTTTATTTTACCATAAATTTTTCCCATAATTATCATCAAACCAAACAACAAAAACCAACCACACTAATGTTCTGACATGTCCTCATGGAAATAATTCTGAAACAAAGCCTGATAAATTAGCCCCATTTTCCAATACCCATTGTTCACCTATAACTAAATGTATTATATAACAAAATATGTGGCTCGATAAAATATAGAAACCCATTAGAAAGCACTGACCTGTACTGATGTGATGGATCCTTTTCTTGTGGTCGTAATTCTCTCCTGCATAGTACCCATGTCAGTGGCCAGTGTGGGCTGGTAACCTACAGCTGAGGGGATACGACCCAGCAGGGCAGACACCTGCAATAATACAAATTAACAGTTATTATATTCTTTAAAAAAAAAAAAAACTAGGAATTATTGATCTGGTAACCTTCAGCTGATGAGATATGCCCCAGCAGGGCTGACACCTGCAATTACACAAATTATCAGCTATTATCATTTATTTTTTAAGACTGGAAATTATTGATCTGGTTACCTCCAGCTGTCGAGATATGACCCATTTAATCATACACCTGGTATTACTATGACAATCAATGACTAAGTGCAAAGAATTCAGCAACCTGGTTATCTACAGCAGATGGGATAAAAAAACTAGACGTGTAACACGTTTTAAATCCATCCAGATGTACCTCATCATAGGAATTTGAAACATAGCCTAATTACAGTTGCCATATAAATTCTTATAATAGCAATCCCGATCATTTACTTTTTGATTACACATCAAAATGCACTCAAACTGGTGAAAAAAGACTTATTTTTATCAAATTTTACATTATTACCTCAGAGCCAGCTTGTGTAAATCTAAAGATGTTATCAATAAAGAGCAACACATCTTGTCCTTCTTCGTCACGGAAATACTCGGCTACCGTCAGTCCAGTCAGAGCAACACGAGCACGGGCACCTGGGGGTTCGTTCATCTGACCATACACTAGAGCTACCTGCAATGGAGAGAAGAATAATTCTTGTATAAACCTACGCTTCAACTTTATGACACTCCCAACAGAAAAATCAAACTTTCAAAACAAGAGTTGCTTCTCAATTTTTCCTTAATTTCTGGAGTCCATTTATTTAATAAATTTATGCAATTTCGATAACATTTGAACTTTAATAATACTCATTTGCAACTGACAAAATGCATGGCCCATTATAAAACTAATAGTTAATACTTATAAAAAAAAAGTTCAACATGTAAGCAAACCACTTACACAATGTTTCTAAAAGGGAAGAAAGTAAAATGTTTTACCTTTGAGGACTCATCCTTCAAGCTGATGACACCAGACTCGATCATTTCATGGTACAAGTCATTTCCCTCACGTGTTCTCTCTCCCACGCCAGCAAAGACGGAATAACCACCGTGAGCCTTGGCAACGTTGTTAATCAGTTCCATAATCAACACAGTCTTGCCGACACCAGCGCCCCCGAACAGACCTGCAGCACACGAGACAAAACTCACTAAAGATACATCATTCTAATAATAGTAATATAGTTTCCCATTATTAACAGAATGGTTCTTATTAACAACTATTATCAAGTTTAAAAAAATCAGCTTATGACCTTGTATAAATCGTCATGATCTTTTTCTTTCAATGTCTCTGTTGAAACTTGCCGACCAATTCCAAATTTCTACATTTGATAGGAATTCCATGAAATACATTTTAGTGAGAACAGTGCCCTCCTCTCTTAGGTAAAACAAAGGCACTTGTGGTTTTAAAATATAACTTGCTACTGAATTTGATAATCATTCCCACAGTTCTTAAATCAATAACAAAATTCATGCCTCAATCACTAAGCGAAGTAATGGTATCAACACCCATGTTTCTGTGTTATAATCTTTTCATCACTGGCATGAATACAAATCAGAAGAAAAATATCTGATCACCTTAATTTATTTCAGCACCAAACAATCAAATTTTATATCATATCCTATCGACTAATTAACCTTTTTTTGTATAAAAATGAAGAGGTTTTGTCCTCACAATGCAAAGAATGCTAGAATAGAAAAGACTGGACACATGTCCTGTGCCACTCTTACCAATTTTTCCACCCTTGGCATAGGGGGCCAAAAGATCTACCACTTTGATGCCTGTCTCCAAAATTTCCTGGTTGACACTCATTTCTACAAACTCTGGGGCTTCAGCGTGGATGGGGGCAAACCTTTAAATAAACAGTTCACATTAATAAAAAGAACACTATTCTGAAAAAATTATGATGAAAAATTAAAAAGATACTGAAATCAACATCTATAATATGACCCCACTCTGAGATGAAATTCTACAAGCAGAAACTTTAACTACTGGATAATAAAAATTAAATCAAAATGTTTTTGCATGCTCATGTTGTTAAACCTCCACTCAAACAAAAAGCTGAATTTTTTGGCACAGTAGTATCAATTGTTATCATACAGCCAACTTCACTGAACCTACCACCCTGAATTTCCACTCATGCCAAAACATTATCATATCTGGTTCAAGTAAATACTGTAGTGAACTCACTTTTTGGAACCAATGGGCCCTCTCTCATCAATGGGTTCTCCAATGACGTTCATAATACGGCCTAGGGTCTGTGGTCCCACGGGTATACTGATGGGGTTCCCTGTGTCCACTACCTCCTGGCCTCGGACCAATCCTTCTGTACCGTCCATGGCTATTGTTCTCACAGTGTTTTCACCTGCAGAATTGAAGTTGCCCATCAAGTATTTCTCAAATGTAAATACTTCTTGATACATTATTTGTCACGAATATAAAAGATCCTCCTTTAATTTTCTACAGTGCCTAATTTTAAACTGTCCACATTTAACAACATTTAAGTTCTTAACATTTTGAATTTACTCGTAATTTTACTCATATACTCCTGTGCTTTTGTACTTAACCTTTTAAGATGTGAAAACTAAAAATAACTGTCATTTTTCAGGATAACATAAGCAAAATAAATTCACATCATGGTAAAATGCTTAAAAGCGAGATGTTCACTAACCTAGATGTTGTGATACTTCTAAAACTAGTCTGCTACTCCTCCCTGTGACCTCCAAGGCATTTAGAATAGGAGGCAGTCCCTCTGAAAACTGTACATCTACAACGGCACCAATAACTGCCACAATCTTTCCTTTTGGGAGAGCCGACTGAGCGGCTTTTGCCGCAGCTTCCGCTGCATAGTTACGTCCTGAAAAACAACCATTTAAAGGTGAGATGCCACTTTACTTTTCATTTGAATAAAAGTCTAATACAAGTTGTTGATTTTTTGTGTGGATATATTGAGAAACATTGATTTCCACTGTTTATTTGCTCCAAATGTATGAATCACCTTCCCTTCTTCCTTACTTGTATGTAATCTAGAAGGGTATTTAAATTATGACCAGTTCACTATATTAAACTGCAGTTTATCAGAAAATGATAAGGAATTTGAAAAACATGGGCGTTTTTACTCTTGCGATTTTGCATTGTGTGGAGACATTTTTTTAAAATATCATTTTACTGCATGAAATCTGACCAAACACGAGAAACAGTCAAGCTTCCATCTCCCGTTTTGAATTTAGATTCTAATTAATTATGCCTTCGTCACATGCATTGGCATCGGTTTTGCAGAAAATATTTCGTAGAATCTCGATAAATTATATATCTTGGTGTCACTGACAAATAAGAATTCAACTCTGAACACGTAAACATATTATCGTTTAACTTAAGTCTATTTGCCAGGTAAGAAGGGGAGAGCATGTGAACTTGGCGGACGCGCTTCATCAAACAATTTTCAAGCGTTTCCACTTAGACAACATATGGATGCAAACTTACGTGATACTAGATGACCGGAAGCAGCTTTTGTTGCAGTGTCTGTTAGTTTTTGTTGAATAATATTCGCCTTAGAGGCGGCTAAGACCCTTTTGCAACAACGTCCTACTGCCTGCATCATGGCGGACCGGCTTGTGGAGCGTCACGTGACACCGCAGTGACTTGTGGGTAGGAAAGCGGTGCCCGGATGTCACAACTTTGGCGCAGCAAACACAATTTAGAGACGCACCCACCTGTAAGCATTTTAGATGGGGGCCAAAATTTTAGACTGGCCTACCCTACAGACTGTAGAAATTTATGCTCTTTTTGACAGCTCGACATACCACTAGGCCAAATTCTTGTAAAAGTGTTTCAGTATCCTATCTTAAATTAATTACTTGATATTTTACATTTTCGCAGAATTTTACCCTGCAGTATCATTGATCACTGCTAAATTGGCTGTAGTGCGTAAATGTGGTAGATCGATATATCCGCTATCCGCTACGATATGTGACATTTTGGATTAAAATGGAGAAAATAGAACAGTACAGAACAGGCGCTGAAAGAATGTTCTAAAACTAATGTTGCTGAAATTCGATAGGACGCAGAGCCTACATGGGGTTTTCATCGGCAACAAAATTTGATTTTTGTAATATTAAATTTTAAGATCACACTGAAAAACTGCTTACTTCAAGAAAGGAATGATCAGTCACAAAATACTCCTAAAGGTGGTCCCATTGGGTATGTTTGTTTTTCGTGCAAACGCTTTTTATTTCCTGAGATTCGTGAAACATCTATATTGAGCCCTATTTAGCGTGATCCGTGACGAGCCCCACGTGGAGGTGGCTTTTTATTCTTCTTCATTCCTAGAAGCCATGACAATGGGTGATTCGTGATTTTCAAATCGTATTTTCCGCCTTTTCAATAAATAAGATATGAATAAATTTGTCACGGTTTGGGGCGTCATTATCAGTTAACTTCGGTGCGGTTTTGCACTATCTCGAAATAGAAAGCTCAAAATTATTCTCCTGTAAAAAAGTATTGTATTTCTCGTCTTGTCTGGAAAAGCATTTGAAAGCTGTGCTTTTTTTACTAGATCCCCACAATTCAGGTAACATATGCCTTGGATGTCATGCAAAATGATTAATCATTAATTTTTTTCTCAGGGAAGAGATGAAAAAGCATGCATGTGAAACTAGAAAAGCACTCCGAGAGCGCAGACCTCCGCCAAGGCAGCAGTTTTTGATTATTATTGATTATTGATTATTTATTGAACCGGATCACCACCAAAAACTAATCATCTGTTCCTTGGTCCACTTCTGACAGTTCCTGAAAATTTCATCAAAATCGGTCCATAACTTTTTGAGTTATGTTGATGACAGACAAACGAAAGACAGACAAACAAACAAGCATGAGTGAAAACATAACCTCCTTGGCGGATGTAATAAACTTAATGAAAACCCTTAGATTTGTTTCAGCGCGCCTTTTCACCTGCACCCAGGGGAATTCTCATCACACATACCTTTTTAAACAGTTCCCTGGCTTTCTATTAGAGCGCAGATCTAATTAATTAAAATCTTAGTTTCTGTGCATTAACAAGTATTTATGCTGAGCTTGTCGTTAGCTATATATCCTGAAACGACAAGTGGCGTGATTGGGACAGATATATTACTTCTATTGAATCCCCCTGCCTTAATTGGTTATCATACTCCAAAACGTGACATGAGATCACTTAATCAATATTTCTGACATCACGGTAAGTGAGTTGAAAAACCAATTGTGACTTCTCTCAACAAGTCCAGTCTTCCGGTGCATTAAAAAATTATAGAGACCCCTGGCAATTTTAAGAACGAACTTAAAACTTTACCTGGATTTTAAACTGATTTACTGCGATCGGCTATACAACACAACCATTTTATACAAATAAATGCTAAACAGCTTTAATTTAGATTCTTAGTAGGTTTACCCGACCAGCCTATAAGCATTGATATCCACTAAGGAATTTCTACGTGCATAAAGTGATATGTTTTACTTATTATAGTCAGATCAGGTGGATTCGGTTATTCCGTGGCCATTCTCACATGTAAATTACTAGAAAAGCACTACGAGAGCGCAGACCTCCGCCAAGGCAGTTTTTTTTTATTATTATAAACTATTAATTGATTATTGATCTGGATCACCATCAAAGACTTGTCATCTGTTCCTTGGCCCACTTCTGACAGATCCTGAAAATTTCATCAAAATCGGTCCATAACTTTTTGAGTTATGTTGATGACGGACAAACAGTCAGACAAACAGAGGTGAAAACATGAACTCCTTGGCGGAGGTAAAAATCACTGCCGTCAGCTAGGCTTAGGTGTTTGTGATTTGACTAAGGACCCATTCAGAATAGAAGACCCTGATATCAACTGGTCCAAGGCTTAAATATGGCGAACCCTACACGAAAAGAAGACCGCTTAATCCTGTAATGGTCACTCCTCTCATACGCCTCCCCACGCGTCGTCCCTGCAGGGACACAGTAATTAAATGTGGACTCCAGTCGACCAGACACGCGGGGAGGCGTGTAAGAGGCGGGTGAGAGGCGGATTAGTCGGCTCTTCTTTTATGTAGGGTCCACCATATTTGTTCCGTGGATCAGAAGATCCTCGGATCTTCTATTCTTCTGTAGAGTATGGGATTATATGCCCTCTACCAGGACCACAGACTGATTTTTCACTAGATATTAACAGATATGTCTCTGGTTAAATAGATGATTTCGCGTCAGAAAAAATGTCCACAGAATAATAACTGCGGCCCTGGTAGAGGATAGGAGTATAGACTTTATTGCGTTGTTGTGATAAATAGAAACATGAAACTATTTGTGTGATTCATTAATCCAGGATATGAAAGAAAACTGAATAAAATATGAGGCGGTGTTACGTAAATTCAATTGGCACGTGGTTCACTGTAACAATCACACTTTTATTTAAATAACAAATTTGTAGGAAACGCCCTAGGTGGCATTATTTTAAAACAAATATGAGAGGTGATATAAGGCGAAATTAATCACTTCTACGAATACTAAAAGCTTAATGTCAAAATTTGCTATTATGTTTGCTATGGGTAAAACGTGGACTATACTTAATGTGGTTAGAAAACACGTGCTCAATAACACTCTTCCTATTTCTTTTCAGCTATTATCGCGCGTGGCGCGGTTAGGTAAATTAATCGCATAGGGCTTATCCAAGGTTCCAAATGTTTTTAACAGTATTCCGGTATATTTTTACCTGAAAAATTCCTTCACTGTTTAATATTCGTTCGTTCGTTCGTTCGTTCGTTCGATCATATCTCTTCCGTGTCCTCAAAAGGGCTTATTCTCAATGACGCTATCGTTGTACTTAGACCGAACTCAGCGGGTACCCTCGCTGAATGCAATCAGATTAAGACAGCTAGATTAACAGGCCTAAGATGCATATGTACCAGCTCTAAGGGCGTATTCCCATAGATTTTAGATCGATCCCCGTGGGGAATCTCACTAGATTACTGTCCGTCCCGCCTACTACAAGCTGTAAGAGGGTAATTAACTTTCATGCCCTCTCGGCTGACAGCTATTTAGCGTGAACCCCCAGGGAGTTAGGTCGATCTAGTTTGGATCGATCTAATCTCTGGGAATGGGGTCTAAGAGATGGGAATAACGTGCTCTCTGACCACGGGATCTGCTAGTAGTCTGAGACAAATTTATTGTATACTATTTTAGAGGCCCTTGATATCAGGGGGTAGGAACTACGCACATGTGACCGACTTATAAAAAGGAGAGACGCAGGGGTGGATTGAGGCCGTCTTCTGGTTCTTCCGGAAGACGGCCAGATTTTCAAGTTTACTCTGACCGGTATGTCATTTTTTTTCTGTCGGAAGACGGTAAAAAAAAATGGAGGATGGATCAACAAAAATAATTTAGAAGACTGTCAGAAAAAATCGATGGATCCGCCCCTGGAGACGTAATAAAAATACGAGGAACCTCCGGGTTGAAAATGACCTGTCACGGAGCCGCTTCTTGTTTTGCAAATATCTGCATGTTTAGGCTTTAAATCATATTACGCAATGTGTTTTTCTTATTTTAAATGTGGCATAGCTATTCAAATGTGCAGGTGTGAATAGACCAAAAATGATATATTATTTTTTTTCAATTAAATTCTAAGTGGAAAATTATTTATGTATCAGAGTATTTCAGAATATCTTGTCTGGTCTGGTTGGGTAAAGAGACATGTTGTAACAATAGTCAGGCGATAGTTTTTGTCTTGTTAACAAACACATCACCTCAGCTGCTTAACAACTTCAGATTTGATGTCGCTAGTTTTAATCTCAACTTCTGTTTTAATTTGCTAATGCACATATAATTGCAACGTACAGTATCTTTTGTAAACAAATTCTATTTTAATGTTTGAAAAAATAGGTACAATTTGGTATATTGGTGGGACTGTAAGTACTGTTAGGAAAACCTGAATTACAATCATTCAGTTCTTGATTTTTCAAAATTTATTAAAATAGATGTTTGTGTCAGATATTTACTTCGTCTTTCTGAAATGCGTAAGTTATAAGTTCGTCTACTTATATATATATTTAAGAAAGTGGATAGTTCGTTCCATGGAGTCGGCTGTATAGTGGGCTACTTCAAAATGAATCGTGAAACTTATGGGAAGTATTGAAGCAGCCGGTGGTTTACAGCAGTCCTCTAGCCTTTGTCAACAATATTGCGGACGCTGCTGTTTGCAGTCAGAGGGCCCATCTCAAGTTGTTCTTCCGCCAACACTTCCTGTCATGACGAAAACGTTACATATAATAATGGACCATTCCCAGACCCTACCGCACGAACTGTTGATCAATCTATCTCCAAGGGGATTCTCGCTAAATTGCAATCAACTTGAGCGGCTTAGATGTCTGTCACGCCTACTGAAGCTGCTAAGGGGTAATTAACTATCGCTTAGCAGCTTCAGTGGGCGATCCAGAAATCTAAGCCACTTAAGCTGAAAAGTAATTTAGAGAGAAACCCCATCGAAGATGGCTCGATCCTGTTAGATCGATCTAGCTATGAGAACCTAGTCTTAGTCAGTAAACTATATCTCAATATCACAAGCAATATATACTTAAGAATCTTCGGGGGATTCTGCTTGAATAGCACGAATGTTGTCAAGAAACAGTTACGATTTTCAAGAATGACTTAGGAATACATAGCGAATATTAGGAATCAGTTAAGAAAAAGCTAGGCGTTACCTGAGCAATGTCTAAAATGGGAGAGGTGACCACGTCGGTTGGAAAATTATTCACGTAGTAGTCACAAAGCCAACTGCATTTAAATAAATAAATGAATATAAAATAATAACAGATAAGTAGACACATGAAAAGTAAATATATGAAGAAAATATATTAGATACAAAAAATAATAATAATAAACAAAAAATATAAATAAGTAAATTATTTTAAGATATGACTTTAAAAGAAGTTCAATAAAATTGTTAGCTATAAGGAGCCATGCAGGAAGAAAAAAAACATTGATGAAATTCGTACCGATGACTTAAAAGGCCAGTCATACTGTCAATTCTTTGGTCCACTTCGCTGAAATGAAATAAAGAGAAACAGTTCAATCTGTGTTGAAAGTTCAATACGAGACCAGCTGGGGATGATGGAAACTGAAGACAAACGGTATTCTAATTTCTACAGAGTTAACAAGACTCATTTTGAAAAGTTGTTCACGGCATTTCATTAAATTATTTGCTTACCAGACTAATCTGTCAATCAAATCCCTGAAGACACGCTCTGTATCTGTGTAGATGATGGTGCCTTGGAGGATTTTCATTCTGGCTTCGGCTCTAGTTGGCAATTCAAGCCAAAGTGGGTGCCTAAATAAATCGACTAAAATTATTCTTGTCTTCCAACACTACTTACTAATCTAAAATTTTAAAGTTTTTTTTTTTTTTGAAAAATTACTGTCTTTATTCTTAATTTCGTGTTCATACTACTAGCAGCTCCAAAAAAGGGGGAGTATTGTGACCTAATTAGAATTACTGGCATGAATAACAGTTCAGTCATCATTCACAAAACTGCATCATTTTTCTTACCTTCCCTCCATCAATTCAAACAACAGAATACCCAAAGCGTAGTAATCAGATCTCCACGAGGCGGCGCCACCCCTCAGCACCTCTGGGGTCATGTTCTTGTATAGGGTGAAGTTCATCAATTCCACCCCATGGGTACTCTCCCCAGCCGCATTGAGAGGGTGAACGGACCCCAAATCACACTGGAAGAAAGAAATCAGCATTTATAATTGAAAAAAAAGGGAAAATTCTGGTTACCAAAAGGAAAATGTTGGTTACATCCATAATTTTCTTTTATGAATGTAATACAAAATCATATTTTCACTAGTCATAACATATAATTTTCATTCAGATTATGGCACGTAGTTCAGCTACGTAAAATCGAGCCTTAGCGAAGAGCGAGACGCTATCCGAAATCAGGCCCCACCAAGGAACGTTACAGCAAGAAGAGAAAAATAATCTGACTTTTATTTATTTACTCCGATAGACAAAACCGAGCCACAACAAAGTTAACATCTTACTAGTTTGGGAATCCCGTGCACACTTATCAACACGTTGTTCGTTTTTATATCAAAATGGGCTACGTTCCGTTGGTGCAAGTGCCCAATAGCCATACAGACGCACGTGGCAATATATTTCAACATCTGAAGTGGAACTTCGTCCCTAAAAAATAAATAAAACCAACTGTCAGTACGATATTTCTGTTAACATTTAAAGAAAAATATTTTGTTGAATAACGTATTTTTTATGAAACGATATTTTTAGGATCGAACAAGATAAAATCAGAAAAAAAAATGAAATGATTATTTAAAGAAAAGAAAAAGATAGAAAGAAAATAATTACTTACAAGAATGTTTCCCAATACTCCCGGAGAATTTCCAGGTCCATTGGACATAACTCCGACAAAAGGACAGGAAAACCAGGTCTTAAGTCAAAGGAGTGAACGAGTCTGGAACGGAAATTTCTCATATCAGACTGAGATTAACTAAATCATGCGGACGAAAGACTTTGAACCTGTACAGAATAATTTCTCATTATATGATAAATAATTGAGATTTTACAGTCACCGTTTATGACGTTTTTATCCGTCTAGTATGTTCTTATTTAATTTATCATTATGATATTGTGAAAGATGTTGATAATCTAAGTGCCAAACTTTTAACGAGGTAAAGAGATAATTATTTGGCGTATATCATAAAAGACATCCGTGCTTCATAGGCATGTAGGCTTACAAATTAATCAGCATATTAAGTAGTTTGTATTCAACTGACAAAATACCTCAAGATAAATTTGCTGTCTATCCTCTTCATAAAAGCAACTTCTCTGTAGATGGACCTTGCAAAGGCCTCGGAGGTCGGCACCTTTAATGCCAGGTTGTTTTTAAACTAAAAGTAAAATATTTCTGTTAGAGGAAGGTCAAATCTGTATAAAATAATAGCAAAGATAAACTGGTAACATAACTCATGATTAATCACTGTAAACATATTGTTTTGCTGCTGCTGCTTTAAACATACAATATATATATATATATATATATATATATATATATATATATATATATATATATATATAATTACTGTCATGTATGTGTGTACCATTGCTATTATTATTGCTGCTCCCGCTATCCCAGTATCACTTATGTTTGTTTTTCATAAGTTCAGTACCTTGTACACTGCACCGAATCCTCCACCTCCCAAAATCGGAAGCATCGTGTCTTCCTTCCAAAAAAGAGCCCGAACCTTAGACATTGAATAAAGGGAAATCGATAAAAAAACCCGTAAAATTCTAGCTTTAAATTCGCTTTTATCTGAGCATATTCTAGTTATGAAATTGTTGAAACTTCACTCTCTTATTTACCAGGGCTTACGTTTTAAGTTGAATCTTCTTGGCGAGTGAAATTATCAAAATTAGTGAAATAGATGCTTAAATAAAATGGCCCGATTACTTCTAAAACTAAACTTTAAAGACGCCTCACGGAATCTTAATTTGATTAATAAGAAACAAAGTCATAAATGGCTGTAGTGGGGGTGATGTACAGATACGTATATTGATACCATCAGTCGAGTTTTCGATTTTTGTTCCGCTAAGAAGCAATATCTTACCTCGTTTTCGAGTCTGAATGTTTCTCTGTGAAAAATGTACATGTAACTGTATTTCATGCCTAAAAAGGCCATATGTGACGCAACTATCATTGTGTATTTTGTCTATTATACTCAGAAGAAAATCGCCGTATTCACTTCGCTTGCGCGCAGCATATCTCCAATAGCTTGTGTGTTACCTGGTAACGTCGGCACGTGCAAAAGACGTCACAATATGGTTTGCCTTTTTAGGATATATTTATCACGTGAAATATGCATGCGCTCTAAATGGGAAATGGGCGGGGTTTTTTTCATGCCAACAGTTATAAGGTTGAAAGTATATTGTTACTTCCCATAGCGAAAAATGATTTTGATAAACGCAATATTCTATACCGACTTGTAAATTGCTTGCTTATATTTCTTTCGATTTGAAGAAATGTTAAAATTTTCTATTTTAAAAAGGAAAAAGCTCTGTTTAGCGGTGCTCTGGTAGATCTAGGTTTACCTTTTTAATAAATGAAAAGAGCTATTAGACTGTATAGAAAAAGTATGAGTTAAAAGTCAGTATAGATCAGCAAGATATAAAATTAATAATGCCGTACACGTGTATATTGAAAAAGAATATCAGAAAGTTTCGAGAATACGACTCCAGAGTGGTTGAAAGAAAGTTTATTTTGCGGGAAATAATGACATGATGAAAATTTCAGATAGGCCTAATTAGGCCTATTAGTGCAAACAACATGGAAAGTTTATTGCTTTTATCAACTTTTGCACAGTTGTATAGCCTCCTGAGTAGCCTAAGTTACTCGGTTTACGTATTATTTTAAGCGTACTGTGTGAAAAAGAGACAAGATACCAGGATTATCAACGAACTCAACGTACCTCCTTTTTGGGAGTTCACCCCCCCCCCTCCCCCCCGTTCATAATAAAAAAGACTGCGAGCCGTCTTGCCTACTCGAGAGGCGAGAAAATAATTACGCCACTATTTGTAGGCCCCCTACGTTAAAGATAAAAATAAATTTCAGAAGATTTATCTTCTTCGATGTCTGGATTAGGAAATACACAGAACTTTTAGAGATAAGAATGTGACTGTAGAGAATTTTAGTGCCTCTTAAACCCCCCTTTACACTGGAAGGCGTTCTTTTTGCATCTTTTGTACGACAATGAAACTGGTATCGCTGATGAATCAGAAAAGAGGCTCAAGCATTTGGTTGCAGTATGAATGCTAAATGATAGGCCAGTTGACGGCATGTAAAGCATTATCTTTTTTTTACACTCAAACGGGGCTATACTACAATATGCTGAAAGGACGCCGTCAAGTGCAATAGGAGCTTTAGCAGACGTGATGCGGGTATTTAAGTGTACACATATGACGCTTCATATAACGACAACTTTTGGAGAAAATATATCATTATCATCTTGTAAAAGTGAATATCGCTGCGAGCAGGGTTCGAACCTGCGCGGGAATATCCCATTGGATTTCGAGTCCAACGCCTTAACCACTCGGCCATCACAGCTCCATATTAATAATTCAATAACTAAATAAACAAATAAACAAGTTTATTAATCTATATAATTTCATTACAAAAGGGAAATGAGCTCTAAATACATTGTTAAAAGGAAGTTTTACCGTTTGGCAAAAGGCTTAATATTCTTTTTTCCGTTAGAGCAGCCTATTAGAATTAAATAATGAAATAAAAAATGTAATAAAACACTATAAGATAAGATAAAGTAAATAAAACCGATTTATATATAAGATATACAATATGAAGAATAAATCGCCCTGTTAGAGTGTGGTTGTATTAAAAACTGTAAACGTGTTATGAATAAAAATGTTAAGACTTTGTATTTAAAAGGGAAACAGCTGGAGGATAAAAGCAATATAAATATCCTTTACTTCCCTTAAAAACTAAAAAGAAAATTTAAAAAGGTTGTCTCAATGATTCGGAGTCATCTTAAATTCTTAAAAGGATCCAAGTGCAAGGATTGGTCAAGCAATTATTCGTCGGCAGGAGAAAATTGGTTTTTCCTCAAGGAAAATTCATTTTAGCGAGTAAATCTTGTAAAAAAAAACTTTTGCAAATAAATAAATTCGTATTTTTTTAATTTATTGAATGGATGACAATCTATAACAGCTGCGATGGCCGAGTGGTTAAGGCGTTGGACTTGAAATCCAATGGGATCTTCCCGCGCAGGTTCGAACCCTGCTCGCAGCGATTTACGTTTTGAAAAAAATTCTAATAAAAGGGTACATCCTACAATATGGTCTCTCGAACAAAGTAAACATTGGGTAAAGTTGCATGTCATTAATGTCTGTTTTTTTTTTAATGTTTATTTTTACCTTATAACAACAGTTTCAAAATCATTCACAATGAGTGTCAATGAAGCCCATTCAAATAACCACGCAGAAATGATACCCTCTACGCCGTTGGGTAATTCCGGCCATATTTCTGTAATTCCCTTAGTGATTTTTTTTTTGTTTCGTTTTTACGGAGTAGGTTTTATAAATCCATTTGTCTGCTTCTTCTTCTTCGGCGCGGTACACGCTTCAATTGATCCTTTATCTATCAATTCAGCGGTGACCCCGCAGCTTTTGTTTGAATTCCGTGTAATTGCCATCAGTGCTTGAATAGACAAATAAATAAATAAATAAATAAATAAATAAATAAAAATAAAAATAGATAAATAAAATAGAATAGAATAAAAACAAAATGAAATGAAATTTTGAAAATGGCTGATCCGTGGGGTACCCTTTTCCACCCCCCAGACAAAATAAATAAATAAATAAATAAATAAATAAATAAATAAATAAATAAATAAATAAATATAAATGACGAGCGAAACAAGGCAAAAATTAGCAAAATTGCCATGGATCCGCTAGTGAATATCAAAAGCATGACGTTTAAATGAAAAATGTTTGCATTTTAAACACATTTAAAGTGCATAAATCATTTTTGTTTCATCTTATCTAAGGGCTAGCAAGACTTTTTGATCATATTTTAACATATATATTCCATGAGTTAAAGTCGCCAAATAATCAAATTTTGAATTGCACGGAAATTGGTAAGCTCGAAGGAATGACGGACTCCGAAAACCCATCGATTAAGCGTCGGTTAAAGACTTTTCAACTTACCCATATTATAACAGAGATATTTCGTGTTTCATTAAAGAGGAAACATAGGTTGGTTAATTGGAGAAGAAAAATTTATCCCAGGAAAATCAGGTGAGTATGAGTCTTCCTTTTTTCTGGAAAATCTAACGGAGTGCTCTGTCAATGTTTCAGTGCCGCAGGGATATTGCGTCAACTACTGAATTGAACTGGCAGTTAAACAATAGTACAAAGTAAAGAAAAATAGTTTATTCAAGTTAGGTACCACAAATCTCAAAACGCATGTCGGCCCAGATGTAATATTGCTTAGATCTTGGAAAAAATTAAAAAAAGCGTCTGTTAAGATATGTTCATAAATCTAACTGAAAATAGACCACTGTCGTTTACTATTTTGTCACTTATTACTTCTTTCAGATTTAAACTTATACCATATGTTTAGGCGCAAAAATTTCCGAAAAAAAATTATTACAATAATACTAACACTCGAAGTACGAATTCAATACGGCGACATGCTCTGCACATTGACTTTTTATGGAGGGCCTCCCTCAATAACTGTGGCGAAAGCACGAGAACGAGCGTGGAAGGCCTCGTTGTTCGGACACAAGAAACGCACTTCGAAGTCTGCACAGGTCCCGTTTGGCACGTTATTGTTGGCGCACACAAGCCCCATGGGGATTTTCAAACAGGGGACCACGAGGGGGGTGGGATCGACGCCGACGTACATTTCGTAGTGCGGGATGTGTGTGCCCACGGTGCGACACTCGGCTTTCATGGCTGCGAAGTTGCCTTTACCGCATGGCTGGAAGTTAAAAAAAAAAAACGTCATTGTAACAGACAAATTTCAACAATGTAATGGACGGTAAACAGACGTTTAACTACTACATAGGGGATTCTAGCGTTGGTGAAGGATCGATCTATCTCCCTGGGGAGTCTCACTAAATTGCTATCAACGTAACCGGCTTAAATGCATGTTTGTCCCGCCTAGTAAAACTGCTAGGGGATAATTATCTTTACACCCTAGCTGATTCGGTAGGCGTGACAAACATTTAAGCCTCTTGAGCTGATAGCAATTAAGTACCCTCTACCAGGGCGAGTGATAGATTTTTTTTACAGATATTCACAGATATGTCTCGAGCTAGATAGATGGTCATTTTGAGTTGAGCCCTAAATGACCATCTAGCTAGCTAGAGACATATCTGTGAATATCTGTAAAAAACTATCACTCGCCCTGGTATAGGGTAGCAATTTAGCGTGAACCCCCAGGATCGATCTAAGTATGGGAACTCCGTCTAGGCCTATCTATACACGGATGAGGGTAACCACAACAGCATCGATTATTTTAGTCTTGGTATTGCTCTTGTTGCATAACTGGACGGTATATATGATATCTGTTACTGAAATCAGGCCTTACAAACTGATTAGGCGTTAAATAACACTACCTGCAGATTTTTTAGCACTAACACCCATATTAACCACATAACCCACAAATTATAAATTTATAAAGCCTGGGAATATGCCCTGGACAGTAGGCCTACTGAAAGAAAACTAAAGAAAACTATTGAATCTTTTACTCTGTGATTTATATGTTTGCATGGCTGCAAACCAAAAATGGTAGCTGACGTAATACAATAGATGAATAAACAGAAAAAGCTTTTAAAAACTCTTTATAAAATAAAAATGAGAGAGAGAGAGAGAGAGAGATAGATGAAATACTTACGTCATTCAGATCAATCTCATAGTCGCCATCGCCGCCGGGATCTCCTCCATCAATGGTGTCGGGCGTATCCTTGTTGAGCCAATCTGTCCATAGGAAACCTGTAGAAAGCAAAGATACGTGTCATTTCACTTGTAAACATTAACAGGGCGTCTTAGGCTGTATTCCCAGAGCTTTTAGATCGATCTACCCCCGCGGGGAGTCTCACTAGATTACTGTCAGATAATCCGGCTTAAATGTCCGTCCCGTCTACTACAAGCTGTAAGGGGGTAATTAACTTTTCGTGTCCGCCCGGCTGACAGCTATTTAGCGTGAACCCCCAGGGAGTTAGGTCGATCTAAAGTAGATCGATCTAATCTCTGGAAATGGGGTCTTAGTAAAAATATAGACTTTCCGCATGCAGCGTGGTTTCGTCACGTAGAATATGTAAGGTAAGCGAAGCGCAACCAGGGTATAATATAAAATTGAAGAATTTACAAAAGGTCTAGGTGAAATGTGAGTGTCTGGGTTTTAAAGGCCCGCCTTTTCAGATCCATCAAACATAAGTAAAACAATAAAAACAGGATAAATCCGATAATGCTAGATAAATGGCAAGCCAAATTGTCCAGACTCACCAAAAATATGTAAAAATAAATAAAGAAAAAAGGATAAATGTAGAGAAAAAAATGGCTGTCAACTTGCTATCAATTCCAGTTGTACATGACCAGAACTAAGTGACGAAAGAATAACCGAAATGGATATATTATACATGAGAGAGAGAGAGAGAGGGGGGGGGGGAAGGCTAAGGGTAGGCAAACTTACATGGCACTCCGGTGACACATGGCCTGACCTCTTCCGTGACCACGTTGTCACAGTTGCCGATACAGATACGGGTGTGCGTTTTGGTGCCGTTGCCACAGGTAACGGAGCACGGGGTTTCCACGTCTGTGCTCCACGGGCCGACTGAAAGATTGAAATAAGTTTCGCTTTGGTAGCGTTTATTGTATACGTAAGTACATGTAGCTTGTTTTATCCCAACTGAGGTGACGGATTTTTTTATTCTATTCTTTTATTCTTTTATTTACATCTTTAATCTTATTTTCTATTCTTAATTATCTTCACTTCATCTTTTTCTTAATTATTATCACTTCTTTAATTATCCTTTTTTTTAATTTTTATTTTATACATTAATCCAGTTCTTTTTATTCAAAATATACCAATAACAAATGCAACTGTCATTTTACCCCCCACCCCCCACCCCACCCGCCACACTATTCCAAAATAACGAAAGAAAAAATAAGAAAAAAATATGGAAAAAAAACAGAAACTCACGACAGAATGGTGGATCGGCGTCGCATGATCGGGACTCCACAGTGGACACGCCGTCACAGTCCCCGTCGCAAGTGCGGCTCCTAGTCTGTGTTCCACCGACCCCGCAAGTGATGGAGCAGTCGCCCCAATCGGACCACGGGCCAACTGAAAATAAGACAAAACAATAGAAATTATTATACAATATTCATTAAACTACCGATTGACTGGAAATTAAATACAGCAAAGAAAGGAATCATCAGTGCATGAACAGTTATTTATACAATAAATAAGGCACCAATCAATATTACACTAAATAAACGGATGAATAGTCACTCATAAATTTGATTTGATCTAGGGTTCATCTCCAGGGCCACCTACATTTTTCATTTTCCATAAAGTTAATTTTAAATTTCAGAACGTTTTTGTTGAAGCAAAATTATGAGTGCACCCCTATCGTGTGAGAAAGGGGAAGCAATACAGTCTATAATAAGGCAAAGTGACACACAACATTATTTAAATAATACATTGTATGATATCACTGAAAGGCAGGGGATACATGTACCATAGCATTGCGATTTGTAAATCTGAACTATATATAAGCTATTAATGACGATGGGTAGGATAAAAATCGGCCATCAATAGGCCCCTAGTAGCCGTAATTCAAAAATGAAAAAAAATCGAGAGGAATGGCATTCCGAACTAAATATTTCAAAGTAAAAATGACAAAGCACTTATTTTACTTTATGATATGCCAGACGAGAAAGAAATTTTATGATGGGGTATCGCTTACCGCAATATGGTGGATCGGCGGCACAGCTCTCGCTTTCCTGTGTTGCAACATTGTCACAAATTCCGGTACACTCTCTGGTTCTGATTCTTGTTCCTCCAACACCGCAGGTGACGGAACAGTCTCCCCACTCAGTCCAGTCAGTCACTAGAATTATAACACGCACACATTTGATAATTGGTCACCGTGTTCCATGGCGGCATTCAAGACGATTTTACCGAACCCCGCTTTAGAACCTATTGCTTTCACTATCTAAGAACAGTGGTGAAACCCCCAGCCCCCCCATCCTCCACCCGTCAGAATCCTAACCAATAGGTCTCTAATAGTCGTAATTCAAACATGAAAAAAAATTAAAGGGAATTGCATTACACGCTAATTAAGTGTCGATTTGACTCAGTGATATGTTTGCTATGAAAGAAAAAAACTTTAAAGTTGTTTTATCGCTTACCGCAATATGGTGGATCAGCGGCACAACTCTCGCTTTCTTGTGTCGCAACATTGTCACAAATTCCTGTACAAACTCTGGTTCTGATCTTCGTTCCTCCAATACCACAGGTCACAGAACAGTCTCCGTACTCACTCCAGTCACTGACTAGAAATATAACACGCACACATTTGATAATGTATTGGTCGTCGTCTTTTATGGCTGCATTCAAGACGGTTATGCTAATCCTAGGTTTTGTTCCTACTTCTATCACTACGTATTTGAGACTTCTAAGCAACATATAAATTTGTGTAACGTCCGTCGGCAGAACAAGTAAGAACAAATTAGTTCGCATTAGATCAAGTTAGTTACTTCGCATCTGCATTCTTTCAATTTCTATTTCATGCTGTCAGATTTCAACCTTTCTTATTTCATTAAAACATTTCCAGTTACGGTGATTCGATACTTACCACAATATGGCGGGTCGGCATTACAGTCTTCGGTTTCGGTGACGGACACGCCCTCACAGTTGCCTACACAAGTCCTGGTTCTGGTCCTGGTACCGCCCACCCCGCAACTCACCGAGCACTCCGACCAGTCCGACCAGGGGTCCACTGAAGAAAGAATTATACGAGTTTTAGACCCACGATTTTCCACACCTATAAGAGCGCATTCAGAGCAGCGGACTAACAGATCCGCAGATCAAATATGGCGACCCACTAAAAAGCTTGTCGCTTAATTCAGGATTAGACACTGAATAGATTTCCTGCGGGGATTACGCAACAAGCATTCAAGCGGGTCGGCCATATTTGATCCGTGGACTAGTTAGTCCGCTGTTGTGAATGAGGCCTTATACGAGCTTTAGGCCTCCGATTTTCCACACTTAAAAGAGCACATTCAGAACAGTGGACTAACATATCAAATATGGCCGATCTACTTGAATGCTTGTTGCGTAATCCCTGCAGGGAATCTATTTAGTGTCTGATCGGGAATTAAGCTGCAAGCTTTTAAGTGGTACGCCATATTTGATCCGCGGATCTGTTTGTATGCTGTTCGAAAAAAAAAAAACTAATGGAATTGTCAGACCACTAAAGTCACACATTCTAAAAACTACTGATCCCAATAAAATTTGGATCAGTGGCCAACGGCGCTGACTGAAATTAAGGACCAAAGTCTTTCTTAGTGAGGCGGGGATGGAGTTAAAAATGAAAGGACTGAGGAAGGTGGTTATGTCTTGGATACTTAGTTGATCTTGGGTCAAAGACTTACTATTCTTTATATCTGTGTAAACCGCAATCTTCCAAGTGTTAAAAATGTACACGCAAGCGACAACCCCTCTATTTAACATCCATGCATGAATTTAACTCACCGCAGAATATGTTTTCGGTGCAGTCCCTCGTCTCCTCCGTCACAACGTCCGCACAGTCGCCGCTGCACGTCCTCGTGCGTGTCTGGGTGCCTGTCCCACACGTGGTGGAACACGCGCTCCAGTCGCTCCACGGACCGATGGTAGCTGTTCACAGAAAATAATACCCACATGTTCTTTATTATGATAAACAAAGTGTAGATTTCGTTAAATTAGGATCAATGGAGCACATAAAGAGACTGAGGAGCGTTTTTTTTTTTTTTGTGTTACTCTTGGCTATTATCCCTTGAAAATGTGGAAACATGCTTTAATTATGAATCGAAAAATATCGCATTTTCTGCAAGAGTGCATTGCAGATCAGTCACATCTATGATAAAATAAAATAAAAATTTCATATCAAACATGATTGTGTATGTAAATAAAAAAAAACATCTTTCTTATGAAGTGGCACACAGCCGTAAGCGCCGGCGCTTTGTAGGTGGTCAGATGTTTTTTTAAGCGTATAAACATAAAATACCGACCGAGAGGGTTAAAATAATAATAATGATAGAAATAAACCCTCTCAAAACAAACACAATCATTTTTAGTGTGAAAGAGTGAACTCAAAACAGCGGACTAACAAATCCGCGGATCAAATATGGCCGACCCACTTGAAAGCCTGTTGCGTAATCCCCGCGCGGAATCTATTCAGTATCTAATCGGGAATTAAGCGGCAAGCTTTTCAGTGGGTCACCATATTTGATCCGCGGATCTGTCAGCCCGCGGTTCTGAATGCGCTGAAAGTTGCCCACTTACTGCAAGGATCCGTATTGCAGGCCCGGCTCATTTCGCTAGGGCCAGTACAGCCGCCTGCAGGACACGAGCGAGTTCTATATTGCACGCCGCCACCGCACGTGACGCTGCATTCGCCCCATTCTGACCAGGGGGTCCACGTGCCTCCGCACGGCTAAGAATAGATAAATGTACACATGTGTGTCTCCGGCAAACAAAGCACGTTTTTTTTTTCTTTTTTTTTTTTTTTTTTTGTTATGGTAACGTGTTGGCATCCCGTTTAAAATGAAAGTGAACCTCTAAGAAAGATCTCACCAAATAAACTGACACTATTCCCACCTTGTAAAAAGATTTAGGTTTAGAATAGAACATGCTGTTATGATAAGGGAACAGTTTCTTTGGCCTACAAAAAACACAAAAATAAAAACAAAACAAAACAAGAGAGAGAGAGAGAGAGAGAGAGAGAGGATCAAAAATGGTAGATATTTACCAAGTTCGGTCCGTGGCAGGGGTTGGCATCTTGTGGGTTGGATTCGTAGTCTCCAATATAGTCGTCGGGTACAGTGGTTCCGGGGGCGCAGGGACGGCGAACAGACGACAGGTCACTCATGCACCGGTAGTAAAAACATCGGTTTGTGACGTCACGGATGTATTCCCCGTACTTTTCACAGGGTCGTTCTGTTCAAGAAAGAAAATTACAAAAAAATGTAGTATTTTTGTTTATTACTGCTACACATCAAGTCAAAAGTGTGCTTTCGAGATATTAATTGTTTAATTGTGCATTTTTGTGTCGTTACGAGTAAAACAAAACTGCTGTCTCGTTGATAAAATAGGTGTCGATTTTTGTACCGAAAGCAAACTCGTGTTAATGTATTGATCGATATTACATTTCAAAGAGCGTTACAAATAGTGATGAATGAAGTCCTATGTACGCACCATCCTTCTTTTGTTTTGTTTTCCGTTTTATTAGCGAATGATAATGATATTATTAAAAAGAATACATCTTCAAAAGCAAAATGATTTTAACCAACTTTCCAAAACAATTCTTGTTCTGTTTTCCTAAGGATATCATATTATTAAGTCAGCGTAAACTTTCTATGCGCCCATGAGGCAATTCTCTGACTAAGAACACAAAGATCTATCCGAATTTTTCAGTTTTTAATATTTGCGTTTTCTCTCTTTTTATCCTATCGTATAAGTAAATCAGATTATTTTAAAACAAATGCAAAAGTTTACTTACCTTGAATTGCGAGCGTCGTCGAAACTATCACCAACAAAAACGCTAGCGTTCCTTTAAGACCCATGTTGTTTTTTACTGCTAACAGTTAAAGAAACGCTCCTAATGAAATTATATCAATTGTCTTTATTTATATATGTCCGCGAATCCGCGCATATGATTACCCTTTGGGTTTGATCTGGATTTCAAAAGTGGCATTTGGTTTTAATCTGCATAATTTTGCTGATTCAAATTCCGGATCGTATGAAGAATTCCACGCATAGCGCTGCCTGTGATCAGTGGTAATTACAAAAATATCCTTTTGAAATTATATAATTTATTCTGCCCTTTGCGTTAGTCACTACATTTCTATATATTACTGTCAGTGTTTGAACAAAAGGTCTGAATAATGAATCGAAGAAAGATGAGTGGTTGACTTCATTAATCAAAAGTACCTGTTATGTTTATGACCCGATATTAGACACTGATATCAAATATAATGGAAATATGTTTTCCATTTTTAAATTTTACTTCACATCATGGTTTCTCGCTTCTTTCAATTCTTTTCAATCATCTTGTCGTGAGAATGTTCAATATCGAGTGAAACGCACATCAAACGTACATGTAAAAACACCAACCGTGAAGCTTTAAATAGAATTGATAAACTCGAATCCAAAGGGGTCTTAGTATTGCCATATCCCCAACTTTCTTCGTATTGTTTTCTTTAAAAACTTGGGTGGTTGAAATCTCAATGCCTTGACAATAAAACCGCACTAAATGCATTATAAAATCCCGCAAAAATGTAGACGAAAGCAAAACAAAATTGATTCTTTAAAATTAAAAAAAATCTGATTTTTTCACGTGAACTATTAATAGTTTTTTCTTATTTCCTCCTATAATTATTTATCTGTTTGTTTGTTTGCTTTTAGGCATATTTTTGCCAGAATGCAGCTGTTAAGTGCGTATAATGGAGAAGGAGGTTGAAGGTATGTCGATATTGCTACGAAACTCAAGTACGGCTATTCTTTAAAGAGGAAACACCCACTGATTTCATCAATTAAACAATTAATTAAGATTTATATACTTATCACTGCCCATCGTTGGAAAAACCCACTCCTGGGTGGGCCGACGTTCCACTAAGTTGGCATTTCTATACAGACACATAAAATAGGCATCCCTGACACAATGAAAGAATAGAAATGTCAGAATTCATTAATGCGAATTGAGTATGAATTGAAATTTGTGGTCAAGTCTTCCGCGATGACGTGAGAGAATATTTAATTCTTTAGAAAGATAAGCTCATAACTTTTTTTCATTTTGCTAATTATAGACTAATTAACGCCTCCAGTAACACCTTTTTTCTTGACTCAGTCATTTCCTGATGCGGCTATAACGTTTTTGTTGTTTATGTTCCAAGGAGAGGAATTATTCGAATAGTAAACAATCCGTGTCATTGATAACCGCCATACAGCAGTGGTTTGAGGGGCGGTTTAAGGCCTTTTTTATCAACTGCGTGACTAAGTCTCTTCATTTTTTTTCTCTCGCATATTCTCTTATTTCATATTAAAATTATGTCTACTGTTTTGAAAAGAAACACCAAGGCATATGATAAATAATGATCGTTTCACCGGATTTTCCGAACTTCTTCATGATTAATTAGTTAAGAGAACCGTAGGGCCTATATAGGAAAGTGTCTTAAAAGTACATGTATGTTGTACACGTGTATGTGTAAGAGCCCCCCCCCCCCCCACACACGCACACACACTTATCGCTATCCCTCTCTCTCTCTCTCTCTCTCTCTCTCTCTCTCTCTCTCTCTCTCTCTCCAGGCCCGTAGCCAGCAAATTCAAAAGGTGTTTCTTTTTCTAAAAAAGTGGACCTTTTCTCATAAAAGTTTCATGTACAGTACCTAGATCAAATTTTACCCAGAGTGGACCTTTTCCCAGCAAAAGGGGCGGTTCTTTCGAACCCCCCGAATCCACCCTGGCTACGGGCCTGCTCTCTCTCTCTCTCTCTCTCTCTCTCTCTCTCTCTCTGCATTATTTTTAAATGGTTAGCACACTGCATTTAAAATGTGTTTCCAAATTAATGAGTTTTCTAAACGCCCTAAACAATTTTCTATTGACTGGTTAATGGCGTACCGTTAATAAATACCCATCGCACGTTACTTGGGTTTATTATGTATCTTTAAGCGCGTGAACAGTAACTTGTATTTCTTCCATTATTATTTCACAAGTGTTGAGCAAGTGCAATTATATCGTGTTTCTCAAATGATCTTATTTGTCAGAAAGGCGTGATCATTCAGTGCTATAGGAGCCGGGAAACCATAATGCCACAATTAAAAACATTTGATCATCGTTTTCACCAATAGAAAATACATTGGGATTCGAGCTGGTGCACAGTAGACATAATGACTTAAAATGGCAATGAATTTCGTTCGGGTCCACAGATTTTCAATAGTTTTCCCTTCTTTTCTTTCCAGACAATGTGACCACGACGCGTTGACCCTATCTGAGGTCATTTAATATTCCGTTGAAGGCAGCTAATTTGAAATATTGCTGGCATTCTAGCCGGAAAGTTATTGAAATGGGCCACAATAAGTAGAACAGAAGTGGGCAAATTAATTAATTATTTAACTCTGCGGTTTACGGTGGCCTGTACTATACTACAGTGCTGTTTACTGTCTTGTATTCTGCCCGCAAACAATTATGGTTGATTTATTAATTTTTAATGCCAAGCCGCTTATTGCGCTCTCATCTTTGTGTTTTGCGTGGGTGAGTGTGTGCGTGTGTTTGTGTGAATGTGACTGTGCGTGCTCACATGTACGCGGGCTAGAGAGTTCCCCTCCCCAAAACAAGGACATTTACCTTCAGAAATACTTGTGCGGTAAAAACTCATGGCTCTTTGACAAAGTTGAGGCAAATATTCACATAACATTATCAGACGTAATCCATGCGGATATTCAATTTTACGCAATGTACAGCAAAAATGCGCTTTCTCCTTGTTCTCCTTGGGGTAAACACTAAAAGTATTTTAATCGAATCGTTTAAAACAGAATCGAGCTATTCAAATCCACAAGCGCCATTCCTCCATAGCAGTGCATTTCAGCAGGCCAAGTATGACTGCGTTTGAAAATAATATTCGCAAATAAATCACGTTGTTGAAATCAAGAAATTCATTAGGGATAATATAATCCACTGTAGCTTTTAAATGGAGATGTATTCAGTAAAATTTAGCACAAAGCGCAACATTGCCTTTCATCAAACTGGCACCGAAGGTTGTTTTATGCATCTTTGTGCGGTCAGTAAGAGAGTCTTTGGCTACGGACCCCGAGCTCTGCTACACAAAGGATTTTTAGACCGAATGTTGGTCCAAACTTTCATCCCCGTCTTCTTTGCACCAAGATGAATTTTAAGAAGTGGTCCGATCTAATGAAAAATTGCGCCTGTCTTATGCGATGGAAAGAAATAGCTAATAGGAACAGTGTTTTTTTCGTCGACAATCACGCATTTGTCTTGAATTGATAAATTTCGGACCTAAAGTTAGGTTAGTCAGTATTTTTTGTGGAACCGGCTTCGAAAAGGGCGTTTTCGTCAGAGGTACTTATCGCATGTAAGAATGTATTGCGTAGTGTAAGAGTCTCCGTAAAGGAATGCGAGATAGAAAAAAAATGAATTAAACACCCAACGTCCGCCCTTCATTTTGCGCTGGGCTGGGCAATCAACAGCAAACTCCATGGGACCGTTCCCAGTCCCTATTAGCTGTGGATCGATCGATCTCCTAGAAATTGCAATCAACGTAAGCGCCTTAGATGTGTGTCACGCATACTGAAGATGCTAGGGGGTAATTAACTATCGTTTAGCAGTTTCAGTAGGCGTGCCAGACATCTAAGCCGCTTAAGCTGAAAGCAATTCAGTGAGAAACCCCTCAGAGATGGATAGATCCTGTTAGATCGATCTAGGTATGGGAACCCAGTCTATCTCAATATGCTAGCACTGAACTGACCTTTGGCTGACTTCGAAAGGACTTTACCAACTTGGGACAGCCGTCACGTAAAAGTGTCTAGATAATATTTGTCTGAGATAAATTCCGGACATATTTACCGCAAATATAACTAACGTTTTCCGATATGTAGGCGTAATATCCGTGCATTATCACTAAAGTGAATAATAGTGAATAAATATCAAGAGAATCAGAAGTTGGTATGAGGGATATACTAAGAAATTAACTCAGTAGCGTTTTGCAAGGAATACTGAGGACCGTTTACCCCTTTTTCGCACGTCTTTTAACTAAACTCGAACAAATTAAACAAATTGTGGTTGTCGTAACAATTATGTTTACTCTCATTTGTTTTAAGGCATGTCAACTTTATCTGTTGCGGGCTAGACCGCTTACAGATCAATATCACAATGTCAGCTGCTTTTAAATTTTAGTTCTCGGGTTTCTGTTTTCAGCAAAGTAAACTAATTATACCAATACTTTTGACTAATGGTGTTGCAGCTGGTTATACTCAGTTGCCGACCAAAAAGCGCATTCTTTTACATTCATTTCATATAATGCAGGTAAAATAGTCACTGTTACTTCAGCTATAGTATAAGTAACTTGTTAAGGTTATATATAGCTACCACATTTACAACCACGAAGTGGAAGACACTGAATATTTAATTTCATATTTCTTATACATTCAGTCAAAGCATATGAATTATTTCAGGTTTTGAAAGTGAAATAGAATTGAAGCGAGGTGACATTGAATTTATTTAATCTTATAAAAATTCAAATGTGGTCTATCTTGACATCGGTGTTTATTTAGAATATATTTTGCTGCCGCTTTAAATTTTCCTGTTTTTGAAATATGAAATTGAAATATGTGGTCAAGTTTTGAGGTTTTGTATTATGTCAGCAAACATTACGGGGGTTTACCAAGAGGAAATAAACGCGTTACGTTTATCGGAAAAATTAAACCTCCTGAATCGTTTATCGTTCAAACTTAAGACCAATGTTTGACTCTCGTTATGTTGTCAGGAGACGAATTTCATTATGTATTTAAGTGCACTTCTTACAGAAAGTAGAAAAGCTTATTAGCTTATTCATCCCAATAAATTATGTACCAGATCAATTAACTACACGAATGACGTTC